TCTCCTTTGGGCCTCCGCGTCTGCTATCCAGCTCACTCCAATCGGCGCAGAAGAGCTTTCATCAAAACATGGGCCACATTTCTACTGGGCTTGTAAGGACAGCTCTCGGCTTCGAGTCTGCGCCTCTTTCTCTACACATACTTCACCAAACAATATTACCAAAACAAAATATCGATGGCGTGTGGGAGAGGCGAGAAGCGCGAAAAGGCAAAAGATATGATTCATAATCAATACATTACCACAACACACACAAAGGTACCCCTCAAATGAGAGGGATCAAAAGCATCTGAATGTACGATCCATGATCTTGCGGCCGCGTTGTTTTCAAAAAGCAAATTATGAGCAATTTCGGTCGGATCAGACTACCTACCCAGCTATCACGAGAACCTTTCGCAAAGCGACATTTCTATGCAAAATGAGTGGTAAAAATCGATATGTTGGCTGCTCGAGATGGACAAAAAACCATACAAAATTCGAGTTATGTCGAGCTCGGATCCCACCCAAGTTACTACACGTAAAAGCTACTTGTCGTCCACCTCATGATATTTGGCCGATACTCTGGCCTGGGTATCTGCTATATAAAGGCTCTAGGCTTTGGTACCTTGAATTCACCAACATCTTTCGCTCAACTCCTCCTTCTAAAATTGAACATCACCTTGAGCATGATTGTCTTCTTGCTGACTGAAAAGCCCGCGAAAGAAAGACATGTTCTTGTCGTCGTGAAGAAGCGAGTTCAGCTCGTTTATGTTTCTGTCGAAACTTGGTTCCATCAAATGCGTGGTAGATCAGAGACATGCCGCCTCACTCATGGTGTCGACTCGGCATAGTACAACGATACCAGTCTACGTTGTTCAGTCACTCCAAAACAGTGGGATCCGCTTCTCATGAGTTTGAGAACTCGCTGCGGGCGTTGCTATAAAGCCGTCGATTTTGTTTCTCGACTTACTCTGCATCCAACTCCTCTCTTCCGGAAGTCTAAAAATCAAAACGATCCTCTTCCATGGTGTTTCCTCCGACTCCAAAAAATCAAACCACGTCAAGCCATGACTGCGTGATCTGGAGAGCTTCCAGTATCAGCATGTGCAGACTACCCGGTTATCCTGATCTTGATTCGAAAGTTTGAGCGACTCAATTAATGTCCTGTCCAGCCACTTGCGAAACCAGAAAACGTCAAGAAAGCCTGACATGAGCGTTGCCAGCCACTCGTGTCCATCTACAGCTCGACTAGTAGACTCCTGGATCTATAAAACCTCCGCTCTCGCACTCCGTACCCAGTATCGCATTCGTGTCTCCAAACTAAGAGCGCCAAAAGACTCAAGATGACCGGCCATGAGATTGTTCCTGTTTTTCAGTCGTCCTAAAAAGAGATCTGTTCCGAGGTATGGCGTTCGGTTCAAAGAGAGCGCTAGTCGATCTAAGCTCTACATCAACCAAGACATGATCTCCTGTGAGAGCAGTTGCAAAAACAGTATTGGCATCAACATATGCTGATTGGCATCTGAAAAAGCTCGGTTATTCAACGCATGTGCGAGATGGCTGCCAGAAACACAAACGCGGGCTTACTATGTTGTTGCTGTGGATAGCCCTGGTCTGGGATGTATAAATAACTGTCCCGCAACATGAACGAGTTCTTTTCTCACATATTGAATTGAACGTTCTACTCAAAACTAAGGGAGATGATAGGCATGGCGTGGGCTGGGGCACAAAAGACTATAACGAAAGAGCCAAGGATTGAGTGTGAACGCTACCGGCTACGAAAAATCTCACGAAGAGAACACTATGTCGCGCAGACGATAGGGACCGATGTGTATGCCTAGGCAGAAAGAGCGGTCTTGACAGACGTGAGGGAGTAATGATGCCCGTAGTAGATCCCATCGCCAAAGTAAGACATCACCCGGGTCAATGGCGACTAGGCCGACTGAGGGATATCATCATATACTCGATTGCTCAACCAGCATCCCCCAATCTAAACCCCAAACTTCCTCGGATCCAAACTCCCAACCTGCGCACTCTTCCCCTCCCCCTCAAACACAAACTCACTCAACAACTTGCCCGTCGCAGGCCCATTTTGAATCCCCCAGCAAGTATGCCCCGCACCCATCAGCAAGCCCTTCACACTCGTGTTACCAATAAGCGGTCCACTCCCTCTACTAACATTAGGCAAATAACATGCTTGTCTCGCCGTAACCTCTCCATCCCTCAGTTCCTCGGAGATAGCAGAGACCTGGTCGAATATCTCCTGACACTTACTCTCATCGCATTGCACAAGATCTGTGGATGTAGGAAGGGGAACGAGGTGGTCGCCCTCGCCGCAGGCGTAGACTTCTTGGTTGGGCCGGGCGTAGATTTCTGGGGTTACGGTTTCCCCGCGTTTGCTGTTGCCGCGGGGCATGTCTATTGAGGTGAAGAGGGCGTAGGCGGAGACGGGGCGCGAGGGGCGGATGGTGACACTGTGGGCGCGCAGGGCGGAGATGGGTGATGGTTTCCAGACTGTTTTCGTCCAGGGGCCTGCTGTGAGGATGACGGTGTCGGCGGGGAGGTTATGTTCTTCGCCTGAGTCTTTGCTCTTGTAGGAGACGGATTTTACGGCGCCGGCTTCTTGTTCGATGTTGGTAGCGGAGCCGTAGACGATTTTGACGCCCTTTTCTTCGGCGAGCTGCGCCATGCTTGTGGTGAAGTGATAGGGGTGCACTTGCGCTGTTGTGAGTGGCGTGCCCATCTCTTCATAAGACTTGATGCCATCCGCTGCTACCCAATCGAGGTCTTTCGGTACACCGGCAGCGCGTAGTAATCCAATTGCTCTCTGCGTGCGCTTTTGTAGACTGACCGAGTCATCTTTGCTCTTGCCGTTCGCACCGTCTTTGCCACCCCTGTTCTTGGCCAGAACACCGTACGTATCGACCTGACCACAGTGCACGGCTCGGTATCCCCAACGCTCAGCGCCGCCATGCTTCTCGGCTAACTCCTGATGAAGTTTGTAACTTAACGGTACGATGCAGTTGGGGTATGCCCATAATGCTAGGAGACCACCTGCTTTTCCTGAGGCGCCACCAGCAATCTTAGTAGCCTCTAAAAGTGTGATGCTGTCTCTCTCTTTGTTAAAGTTTGGGTGGTGCGACAGGAAGTATGCTGTAGTTGAGCCAATGATGCCGCCACCTGAAGTCGTTAGTAAGAAAAGTCATCGAAAATAGAAAGCTTTCGGCCAGTCTTACCGATGATGACGATGTTACGCTTCTGCTGATCGGCTGCCATGATGTTTGTTAGGCGCGAAGTTGCTCTTAGCATGAAGGTATTATCTGGTTGCGAGAGTGGCGTTGTTGGTGTTGCACTTTTCGGAGAGATTTAAACCGACCACTGAGGTACGTCATAGTTCACATGTGCGCGAATGTTCGCAGAACCGACCTTAGAGGAGTGTACTTGACTAAGATGAAGATATTATTCTGCTATCAGAGCACAGGAAGGGCGACCTTAGTATCTAAACAGGTAAGGAAAATCGTGAGACTATTAGGATGAGACTGCATCGCCTTAGAAGTCGCCGCCCATGTCGCCCATGTCATCACCACCGCCCATATCTCCTCCACCCATATCATCATCACCGTAGTTATTCTCGACGTAAGTGTCACCGCCGTCTCCTGCCATTGCTGATCCGATGAGCCCACCGGCCAGCAGACCTCCTCCGGCTCCAAGGGCCATGCCTCCCATGCCGCCGCCTCCCGGACGCCTGCCACCACCCATGCCACCTCCCATAGGCATACCGCCGCCCATGGGCCGACCGTATCCTCCTCCTCCATAGCCACCTCCGTAGCCTGCATGACCGTATGCTGGCTGGCCGTAGCCATGCTGTTGTGGTGGGTAACCGTGCGATGACGATGAATGGGATGAGCCAGTGGCCTTTCCGAGGATCTTGCCTAGCAGTCCTTTGCCCTTGCTCCCTTTGTCTTGTGTACTCGAGTCGTGATGTTGCTCTTGCGGGTACGAGCTGGTGGACTGCTGTCCATAGCCGCCGTACTGTGGTGGTTGCGACTGGCCAGGCTGCTGGTAGTAGTCGTTCGCATGTCCGCGCGTGTCGCTCGAGTGCCCGTTGGCGCGCGCTTGTTCTTCTTCTTGCAGCCTCCTGGCAAGCGCCTCATCCTCGCTCGTGTTCGCGTACGGGTTGTTGCTGCCAAAGCCTCCCTTCTCGCTGGGGTATCCGCCTACCGCGCCACTTGCTGGAGGCGCATATCCGGGGGGTGCGCCAGCGGGCGGGGCTTCGCCGGGAGGATAGACAGCCTCGGTTGGCTTGTCCCATTGCGACTGCTTTGTGTAGGTGTTGACGTAGAACCACTCGTTGTATTGTGGGTTCCAGACGGCCTTCCAGCCTTCGGGTACCTTTGGCGGGGGAGGGCCCTGTGAACTCTGTTAGCGATGCCATGCGACACCATTGTTGCGATTGCGATGCACATACTGGTGGTGGTGCGAAGTCTGCCATGATGTTTGATCGGCGTGAAAGAGGTGAGTGTCGGGTGTGTAGGAAGGTGAGTTAAGTTAAGGAGAGCTGATGTAAATCACGTATAACAGGTAATGTCGCAATGTGAGCTGCGGGGTGGTGGGCTAATAACCCAGGGCATTACGCGCGAACGGGAGCTCCAGTCGAGTGCGCGTCATCGTGGCGAACGAATAAAGCGCCACGTGCCTGCTGAGCCACATTGCGCCACGGAATCAGTAGTTCTCTTGGAGTATATGCCGTGGTTCCGTAGATAGTGCGCGACGATTTGGTCACGAATGGTGGATATTGGACGGCGTTCTGTGAGAGTGATGTCACTAGAGATCTGGAATGCGAACAGCACGACGTGAAGCGGGCTAGTCCCAAATCGGTAGCGGCGAGATGCCCAATCACCCTCACGCCATGATCACCCTTCAACGGCGAAGAACAGGAGGGCTTGCAATCTGTGAGCTCTTTTTTGTGTTCCCCACCCTCCTCCTGGCAATTCCCTGATGTGCGCCTCTGTTCAGCCACCTTTTTAGTAATCCGTCTGTTCTACCACCATACAGATGCCTGCCTCTTGGTACAGCTTGCCAAAGTCTTCCCGAACCATCTTCTCCATCTCTGGTAGAGATTCCCAGCTCATGCCTGCAGCTAATCCTCCCGTAGAACTACTGATATTGAACATCGCCGTGGAGACAAACGACGATGGCACAGCGCTCATAAAATTGAAGGTTGCTGTGTCGAGGTCCGGCAACATGTTTTGCATCTTCAGCACAGCCAGTTGCTCTATAACCATCTTGGTCTGGATACTGCTCGTCATGTAGCGGAGAGTGACGTCATTCAGGCTAGTCGGAAGCTGGTCTTTCAGGAGGGCGTGGATGGCCTCGGGCTCTGCCTCGTCGTGCGGAATGCTTAGGACATCAAAAAGAGGTATTTCCAATGTCTTAAGATTCTCGAAGTTCTTGAGGTTGCTCTTTTCAGGCTTAGTGCTAGAAGGGAAGAGCATTAACTTCTGCAGCGAGAACTTAGAATGCGCGAATGAATCCAAGAGGGCTGGTAGAGCGATATCGGATCCTGTAACTGCATCGATCTGAGCTGGACCAGGCCGGTAGGCTATGACAACCAGACGCTGACCGAGCATGATCTTACGCAGGAGGCGAGCATTTATTCCACATTCGAGAAGGACGACACATTGGAGTTTGGTCGAACAAAGCGCATTGATCGTGAATTTATGACCACCAGCGGCGACATGGTAGAAGTGTATTATCCGGAGTTCAGGCATGATATCGAGAAACTGTAAACTGTTCTTGAAGACTGGCTCTTTCAAGTTCGTGTTTGAGCCGATGATCTGTAGCACCGAAAGCTTCCGAAGTGCTGTGCTGGAACGAGACAGAAAGTGATGCCTATGTGTTGGTGCAACAAGTCAGTACATGTACAAGCAAACAGTGTAGTGGATAAACTTACCAATCAAGGAGCGGAAAGGGGCTCAATCCATCAATACGAAGGTTCTCCATGTTGGGTAGCAGAGCCAGCACCAGAACGAGCTGCGCATCCTCCACACCCCGTCCCAGAAGTCGCAGAAAGTCGCCGTCCTCCTTCAGTGTTGTGTACCATACGATACTCGCCTTCAGCGCCGATGCGGAGGGCGATGTGGGCTCCGAGACTATACCGGCCTTGACTGCGGCTCCGACGAATAACTTGAACCTCGCCGTGGCTGAATCTCGTACGCTCTTCTCCGTGCTCGTGAACGACGGGCCACTCTTCTCGGTTTGGTCGACGTCTCTAACCTCGGTCACACCCCGCCACGCAGCTCCTGTTGCGACCTCATACTCCGAACGCCATCCGCGAATGTCGACGCGCTTCACCTTAGCCGCAAGGTCGGGTCGCTCGCATACAGTCCGAAGGAAGAGATGGAAGGGCGCCTTTGCGGGAGCAGTGCGGTTGAGGTAGATCTTGTAGAGGGTGTCGATGGCGGAGACATTCGCCTTCTTTGACGTCAGGGCGAGTGCGCGAAGAGCCGATCGGGGGAGGAGGCTGGCGACCTGGTCGAGCAGCTCGGTTGGTAGTTTCAGGAAGCTGGCGGCACCGGTAGTCTGCGCGCTCGCCATGGTGGATGTGGGTGTTGATGTTGGCAGTGTCGTCATCAGGTATTTGTCTTGGTCGGGGAGGAGCGACTGCTCGCTACCCAGAACTCGTGGTAGTGTCAGGAGCTGACTCTTCGCGAGTTGACCTCAATTGCAAGCAAATAATGGATGTGTATGCGAAAGACCGAATTCGGCCAATGGGACTTGCCACGACAAACGCTCGTGTCGCAGCTATCGCGTGGTTCTGTTGCCAGGCCGACTATACGAGCGCGATGCTACGCAAGTCTATTTTCTCTTACCACGATACTGGCTCACGCTCTTGTGTTGACGATACTTCTCTTTTTTCGAGAAGATCTGATTGGATGGGTACATATGGAATTCGGAAGTTGTGAGTCGCTCGTCTGCGTCGCGTCACCGCAGTACCATGCATGGGACAAGATGGAAGAACCAGAGTATGCATCGCACTCTGAGTCAGAAGAGGGCAATATAAGATGGTCGCCGCTGCGTCTTCGTTCGATACTGGCTCAATTCACCGTTGATCTCAAAGATTCAAAGTTGGAGTTCCAACTTTCCAATGTTCCTCGCTATCCTCTTGTTTGTTGCGTCGCCCATGTCCACGTGCCCACAGAGCCGCGTTCACCTTCACTTTTGCAGAAACTTCCACCCCTGTCTCAGACCTTCTATTGTGACGCCTTTTCATTTTTTCGCTGCTGCCTACAGCGCACAGGCTCTTGGCTTGGCGCCCACACACGGCGTATATTGAGTTTCTTCCAGCCTTGTCCTCCACCTCTTTCTTCCTCCACCACCACGCAGGTAAGTGCTCGCCCCCGACTCCCGCTTGCTGACTATCCCCGTGAGGGTAGCATTCCTTCCCTGCGACCTGGATCCTCTTTAGCCTGTCAGTATCCTCCTGGTCTTTGCCCCCAGTTAACACTGCCAGCGATTTGCTTGAGCTCGTGTCTCTTGGGTACTAACGCTGGATCCGTGACTCTCTGTTGTAGGGAGGGCGTAGCCACACTGTCTTGCGCCTGCAGCTCGACAGTGCAGCTTCCCCCACTCATCCCGGTGTTGTGGACTGGCCCCAGCGGCAATGCCTCTGTATACGACGGCATGCTATGGACCGCATGAATCCAGAGCGTTGGTGGAGATACGCATACCACCGGGTGAGAAGAGAGCCACAGAAATGGTGTTGCCTTCGGGCTTCCTGACAGACCAAATGGTCCTGGCCTGATCCCCATGATGGCGGTGGCAGCTTAGCACGCCCAAATAGAAGTAAGCGGGGTTTGCCAACCATCATTTGTGCAGAGAGTTATCCCAGCCCTTGGTCCAACAGGTACCCACTGGGGTAGGCACACCCGCAATGGGTTAGTACATCACCGAGATGGAGGACGACATATACATATACATGTATCGACCGGCGACATCGACCGGCGATACCGACCAACGACACTCACCGGCAACATCGACAACCGACGCGGCTATGATCTCACAAGCTTCGGCTTGCTGAGAACTTTCTTCCAGTCATTCGGCACTCATCCAAGTGATGAGGATCGATAGGAACCTTCTTTTTTCATTGAGTCTTCGCCCTGGTGGCGTTGCTTGAGGAAGAAAACTTTGCTTTGTGATACTGGAGAGAAGTGACTTGGGTGAAATTGCAGCTTGCAGCGCATCGCACCCGCCATGATGACAAGCAGTAATAGGGAGAATAACAGGTGGGTGTTGCGCGAAGCTGAGTGTTTGATAAGAAGAGATGATGCGTAGAATGAATGGACGGTCAAGTGCTAAAACGCAGACACGAGATCATGACGGGGATATGGTAAAGACAGCTTGCGACAGCGCAATAACGACATGCTCCTGCAATGCGTCAAGTAGCGTAGGTACGAGCTGAGGTTCCTGGTCGTGTCGTTGAGAAAGTAACATCTGAATCTCCAACATTCACAACCGTTGGAGAAGACTGAGAGGCATGCTGATCGCACAAGTGAGCTGTTCGTTATGCGGACGAGGTTGGTGGTCTTTGACAGTCAAAAGCAGTAAGGAAAGATAGCGAACAGTAAGTGCGAAGTAGTGCAATTATTGGTCGATGGTGTGCGTCGAGGTAAGTCGCGTTACTGCTCCACCGTACTCACACCGATAGCTCACCTCACCCGCGCTTCTAAGAACGGCGAGGTAGAGGACGACGCCCATCCACGACCCTCCAGTGAGAGCCTCGGAGGAGCTAAGCACCGAGCCTATTTTGAGAAGAGCACCGAGCCCTCGAAGTGCCTTTGAAGCGTAGTCACGTATCCGCAATATTTCCATAATCTTACCTGTCTAGAAGCCAACACGGCGAGGCTTCCTCTAAGATGGGCCCAAGATCCACTCTCGTATATCCCAGAGCGGTATGCCGGTACCAGTCCCACTACATCATCGTGAGCTTGCGCTTGTTGATTCTTGGTGCAACATCCAGCAGACGTTTCGTGCCAAGTAGTTCTGTTGAGGCATGTGCCCTACGATCGGACTCTCTCCGGTAGTCGTCGGTGTGCTTCATGTATGGCTTCGTGAACGACGTACCGGTATGGCGAGTGCCGCGCTAAAGAATATTGCGGAGCCCCACGCGCCAGCCTCGAGCAGGTTGCATTGGAATGGAATTCCACGGCCTCGATGCGCTATCCGATCCACAATTGCATTCCTGCAGGATAAGCTGACTCGGGCTTCCATTCGATCATACCAAGCGTGGTGAGGCCGTTACAAGCTCGCCGATCTTCAGGATGTCCGCACGTCATAAGTGGCCATCGTATCAAGCATAGGAGAGCCGGCCAAGAGCAACAAACTCCATGGCATGGTGTACTTGTCAGCCTCATCCAATTGTTGGGACGCGTCCCACCGTGCCGCTCGGAGGGCGATGGACCAGAAATGGCGCCCGAGATGTTCCGGTGGCAGGCTCGCTTGTATGCATCTCAGCCATACGCCTCGGTAATGGCTACTGGAGACGGGATATCGACATCAATGTGGCATAGCGTTTAGGTGGTAAACAGCGCATTTCGGTGAGTGTGGAGATGCTTGGCAGGACTTCGGTATCTAGACTCAGCGGTCCGACAGGATTGTGTCCTGCTTGGTTTGCTTGGGCTGGATATCGGCTCCATATGTGGTCTTCGAAAGTGCGTAACACTGCGTCTTGTTAGCTATGAAGCGCGATTTTCGGGTTCTTGTCCGTGCGAGAGTCTATGCAAGACGCGTCCTAGATGGAAGCTTGATGTAATGGCCAAAACCTAACGCGTTGCTTATTGTCTGGACATCCGGAATTACGCAAGGTGCGGGGCTAGGCGTCGGCCGGGAGACTCACAGCCAGGAACAAGGAACGGCTGCGGGATATTCGGCGGGCGCGAGGCATTTTGGCAGTATTGGGAAAGTCGAGATATAAGAGTGGAGTAATCGTCCCAACTGAGTGGAGATGGAAGGTGGCTGAGTCGAGATTGCCAGGCGACTAATCGAGTGTCGCGTGACGGCAAGCCGGGAACCTGCTTGGCGCTGAACACCACCAAGGGCTTATCAGCTGGCCAATCCCCATGTCTCGGTGCCATCCACGGCCTTCGATTCCAATGCAGGGCAAACCTTCTCCAAGATGATGATCCAGGACGAAGACTACTTCATCCCGCCCAAGAGTGGCCGGTACCGCTGGTACAATGAACCCCGCCAAACCTCCATCAGGTCGATAAGAATGACTGACGACAACACTGCCATGAACGATTCGAGCCCCTTGCTGCAACTGCCTCGAGAACTGCGCGATGAGATCTGGGAGCTGGCTTTCAACTCGACGAGGCTGACGTTCGGCCTGCGATACACACCCCGCTATGGCGAGAGGTATCTCAAGCCTGCCCCACATTCCCTCGCGCTATTGCGCGTATCCCGCCAGATACACATCGAAACACGCGACATATGGCTTCAGCGTGTTACGTTCAACTTTGAGGACCCTCAGACTATGCTAAACAGGCTCTCCGAGTTACCTGAATCTACTGTGTCCAAGATCCGCCACCTTCGGTTGATCGGCTCCCCAATGATGCGTTATCTCAAAGGGTTCGACGACCTCATGTACCGTCACGAATCGATCTTCCAGCTTCTCCCTGCGCTCCGACTGGACTGCTTGACCGTGTTTGCAGTAGCCGCTGCAGCACCGGAGTATGACGCGATCACGAACTTGATCAACCGCGGGAACGGTTGGAAGGAGCTTCGCTACGTCACTCGAAGTTCGCGCATGCTCGGCTTCAGTCCCTCCAGGAGCCACGGATCTCGTGAGACCGGGGATATATGCCGTCAGCCTCAGCCTCGGTTCTGGAACAAGAGACTGTGGAACAGGGATGGAGAAGGCTCCGGATCGATTGTTCAGGTCTTCAGGTCGACGGAGGAGAATGACTGCACGTCCGTTCTTGACCCGAACAGGCGAGAGTCTTTCGAACAGAACCCAGAAGAGCATGAACTCCAGGGATTCGGCAGGGTGGACGATGAGGATTTGACAAAGGGTGCTGGCGCCCGAAAGGCGCTGCTTGTCTTGGTGAAGCGCGGCGAAAACGTGGATGTCACCCAGAAGTCGCCTGGTTACGGAAAAGAGCGGGACATGAAGGCAAGGTTTCACAAGAGGAGTTGGAGGGTGCGAAAGAAAGTCATCGTTTGGACACCACTAGATGCAGAGAAGGACGACGATGATGTTGGCAACGGTTGGGCGAGACCTCAGATCCGGCGTCCACCATACGGCTTTGACGACTATTACGATATCGACGACATATGAGAAGAAGCAGGCGCTACAAGACGGTTTCTTCGAAGGGTGCGTGAGATGACTGGCTTACTCATTCTATCATTCCACTCCATTCAACATGATCCCTCCGACGTTCACGCTTATCGAGGACTAAGTTCTGCGCCTAACAACGCATGGTACCTTGATCTCGATCTTGACGACGGCATGATCATCGAAGTGCACCTTTGGGACTCGGCCTTCCCAGGCGACACGCCTCCGAGAACGGCGAGACGAACGAACATGAATAACGTATGAC